CAGCCATGATAAAATGGGCTCAGGATATTGGGTATAACATCATGTTTGAGGACTGGGAAAGGTTATGGACCACCGGAATGAAATTCACGGCATGTAATGCCTTGAAGGAAAATATTATGAAAATGATTTATAGGTGGTACATGACCCCAGTCAAGCTTGCAAAAATATATCACCTGTCTGATAATAAATGTTGGAAATGTAAGGAGGCTGAAGGGACATTCTTTCACCTCTGGTGGACTTGTCCAAAAGTGAAGGCCTTCTGGGAAATGATCTATAATGAGTTAAAAAAGGTATTTAAGTATACCTTTCCCAAGAAACCAGAGGCCTTCCTCTTGGGCATTGTTGGCCAGAAAGTGTTAAAGAAGGATAGAACTTTCTTTATGTATGCAACTACAGCAGCAAGAATACTTATCGCAAAATATTGGAAGACACAAGATTTGCCCACACTGGAAGAGTGGCAGACGCAATTGATGGACTACATGGAACTGGCTGAAATGACTGGCAGAATCCGAGATTTGGGAGAAGAAACAACAGAAGAGGACTGGAAAAAATTTAAGGACTATTTACAAAAACAATATAAGTTGTATGAATGTTAAAAATTTACACGATTCGGAAACTATAGCTTCAGCAATTAGATTTGGGAAACAGGAAATTATATTTTAAGTAAGAAAAGGTCAAAATCTAAGGTAATACTATGTTTAATTTAAGATATAAGTAACTGATGAAAAGTATGTTAAATTTAGAGGTATAGTATTTGAAAAGTACAAAATAAGGTACGAAACAAGGTAATAATTTGCTGATATCTTTATTATAAAGAATGCAGGGTAAGGGAGATGCGAGGAAGTCCAGTTAGTTATATAAAAAATGTGTTGAATGGTTGGTTTTCTTTTCTTCTTTTTCTTTTTTTCTTTTTCTTGTTCTTTTACTTTTTTCTTCAGTGTATGTTTCTAACTTTGTATTTGAAAACTTAATAAAATATTTATATATAAAAAAAGGGGAAATCCTTTCGCTTTTCTGGGGCTCAGGGAAGTCTCAGAGCCGGAGGTTGGGGAAGGGACCCCCTTTGCTCTGCCCTCTTCTCCCGTCTTAGATTCGCATGGGGGTCCCCGCCCGAGCTTGCCTGGCCACCGGGCCACACAAGGGCCGCGCTCTACGCGGCGCACCTTGCTAGCCGTGCAGCTGTCCTCCGCGGCTGCGGAGCGGCCCTGCGCCGGTGCCCAGCCCCTCTGGGCGCCCGCTGCGCTGCCAATGACAAGCGGGCGACGTCGCAGGCGGGGAAGGCGTCGCTTTCTTTCCCGATCCTGCATCCTCCCAGTCTTCCAGCCCTTTTTGGGTTGGAAGCTCGTCTCGTTCGCCCTTCTCCTTTCTTCACCCTGCGCGCAATTTTCCTCCCTCGTCTCCCTCCCCATTTCTCCTTCCTTCCTTCCTTCCTGACTGACGGGCTTGGGCTCGGGCTGAGGCTCGGGCTCGGGCTCCGGGTCGGGCTCGGGCTCAGGCTCGGGCTCGGGCAGCCACAGCGTCGGCAGTGTTGGCGATCAGCGGCGCGGGGGGATGGCCCTCCCGGGGGAGCCGGCGCTGCTCAATGGGGTTGCCAAGGAGACAGGCCGGCCGCCCCCCTCCCCCGGCCCGGCGCCCCCCGCCGCGCCGGTGCCCGTTATCGAGCTGGTGCGCGCCGGGCGCCCTATAAAAACCGCGGACGCGCCAAGCTCCCTCTCCCGCCGCGCAGGAGCGATGCCTCTCTCTGGCTCTCCCTCCGCGCAGGCTGAGGGAGGGAGGGAGGGGCGCGTGTGACCCGTCTCTGCTGGGAGACCAAACCCAGCGAGGCAGAGTCGCGCGGAGGCGCCCAGGCAGCGCTGCCGGCTGCGAGGAGGAGCGCCAGGCAGCAGCAGGAGGCGCGGCCTCTCCTCGCCGCCGCCGCCCCGCCTCTCGCCGCCCGACTCGCCCGCCTCCCTCCAGGCATCTCGCGGCACACGAGGCAACGTCTCACGGCACACTCGTGTGCCGCGGAACACCGGTTGGGAAACACTGTTCTAGAGAACCATGAGCTGTTTTTGCATGCCACGCATGTGCACATGTCACATGATTGTTGATTTCAGCACGTAGAGCCTGTGCTTTCCCAACCTTCCCCTCACCCTCCAGAGGTGATTTAAGAACAAAGAGATCATTCTGCCCCTTTTTAACCTTGGCAAATATCCTCCCTCCTTTGGAGATTGTGCAGACAGCATCTTCGAAACAAACCTTAAACCCCTTTTTCAACAAATAAGGCACAGATAAAAGACAGTGGTGCATCCCAGGAACGGTACAAAACTCTAACGTCTCCTGTAAAACAAACACATGCACATTTACAGAGTTAGTTACATTCTTTTTCTGTCCATTTGCAAAGAGTACAGTTTTTCCAGCCGGAATTGCCTTGCAATTCCACATCTCGACAGCAGGGGTCTCTGGAATCAAATTGCAGTTCGCTGCAGAGTCTATTACAAAACAAAGCTCTGAGCCTGTCCCACAGCTGTCCTCAAACAAAGCCAGACTAGCTGTAAGTTGATACGTTTCCTCACGTTGTTTTCCACGTCCTTCTCTTGCGTTCCCACGCTGGCCTCCTCTTCCAGACTGGTTACCATGGAAACCCGGCTGATTCCCATGGGAAGTGTCCTTGAAGCCTTCCTGTGCAGCTGCCCTCGCTCTTTGTGGGCAGTCTCTTTTAAAATGGCTGTTGGATCCACACGCATAGCACCGACGAGTGGAAAAAGCCTGAACAGAGCTCTCATCTGGCCTGGCCCCCCCCCTTGCGTCCGGTGGAGCTGCCTGCGCCAGACTTGCTCTCCCTGAGGCGTCTCTCCTGTTCGTCAGTCAAGCGTCCCGTGACGTATGACAGAGTCAAATCCTGCGGACTCATAGACTCCAAAGTTAGACATAAATTGTCATAACTTTTGTCCAGAGAGCTGAGCAAAATATAAACCTTCAGCTCATCTGTGAAGTTAACCTGCAACAGCCGCAGCTCATTAAACACAGAGAGCATCTCTGTAACATGCTGTCTTATGTCCCCCCCCTGGACGCAGCTTCATCTCAAACAAACGCCTGGTGGTGTGGATTTTTGCACCAGCCGTGGTCCTGTGGTGCACTCTTTCCAAAGCAGTATAAGCTTCATGCGCAGTGTCCAAACCCTCCACATGGGGCAACTGTGAGCCCTCCAAACTGAGCACTATAGCTCCCAGGGCTTTCTGATTTTTTCTCTGCGAAGCATGCGCATTTGCAATGTCTGCAGCCGAAGCTCCGGCGGCTGGTGGAGGCAGTGGAGGCCCTAGGACCGCCTCCCACAGACCCTTGGCTACCAGCCAGGCCTTCAGCTTTCGACTCCATTCCGCCCAATTCTGGCCGTTTAATTTTTCGAAAGGCACGGAGAATGAATCATGGCCGTCCGCCATCTTCTTCCGTTCTCCCTAGGGTCCCCAAGCTCACTCACCAGCTTACAAGCTCCTCCGGCACGATTCCTTGCTGCTCTCAGCTCTCGGCTCCGCAGCAACACAGGCAAACCTCTGCGTCTTTCAGCTAGCCGCTTGCCTCAGATTCCGGCCTCCGCCTCCTGCCGTGCTTCTCTGCTCTGAACCGCAGACTTCAAAGCTTTTTCGGCAGCCGTGATAGCTTTACGATCGGTGATTAAGCTCCATAACCTGTGAAATTGATTGATTGGTTTGACGTGACCCCCGCTAATTGATTTGCGATCCTCAATTAGCTCTTTATGGCCGCCCGGCACGCCTCCGCTCCGAGCTCTCAGTCACGCCTCAGCAGAGTTGAACACAGCGGTGAAAACTGTCACGTAGCTTCACTTAGCTTCCAGACAAACACACACAGAGTCCAGGTTTGTCTATTTCTGTCCTTTATTCCGACATTTCTCAGGAAAATCCAGGACTACTTGCAGCCATGACAAACTGCCTCCTTTCCCCTCACAGCACAGAGAGAAACAGCAAACTCCTCCCAAACTCCTCCCAGCTTCGAAAGCTGACGTCAGAATGTTGAGGCATCATGGGAAGAACTTAACCTATTAAGTTCCAAACTCCACAGGGTAGGTGTGTAGGTATGTTGATATGTACAGTATAGGAAGGTATTATAAAGGTAAAGGTAAAGGGACCCCTGACCATTAGGTCCAGTTGTGAACGACTCTGGGGTTGCGGCGCTCATCTCGCTTTCCTGGCAGAGGGAGCCAGCGTACAGCTTCCAGGTCATGTGGCCAGCATGACAAAGCTGCTTTGGCGAACCAGAGCAGCGCACGGAAACGCCGTTTACCTTCCCGCCGGAGTGGTACCTATTTATCTACTTGTACTTTGATGTGCCTTCGAACTGCTAGGTTGGCAGGAGCAGGGACCGAGCAATGGGAGCTCACCCCGTCGCAGGGATTCAAACAGCTGACCTTCTGATCTGCAAGTCCTAGGCTCTGTGTTTTAACCCACAGCACCACCCACATCCCTTAGAGTAATGTAGGTATGTTTTATTTTATGCAAATAAAGTAGTGTGTTATGTACGTGTATTATATAATTGTGTAAATGTATATGTATATGTATATGTATGTGTTTTATATGTTAATAAAATAAAATTTAAAAGAAGGCTGCTGCCACAGTAGCAGGGACAGCTGCAGTGCGCTTCTTGCAAACCAGATCTGCCGTCACCCCCAAAACCTCTTGAAAAATAGGAGATGCTGCTGGTCTGTGTCCACAACTAGGGAGGAGATGGCAGGGGCTGCCCTTCTTTCCTGGCAGGGGTGGAGGACCCCATTTTGTGGTTGGCCTCAGGTGCCAAAGTATCTTGAGCCGGCCCTGATCTGCACTATACATACCGCTTTGAACAGCCACGGTTTCCCCCAAAACACCCTGGGAGCTGCAGCTTCGTAATGGTGCTGTCAGGAGTCCCCTGTTCCCCTCCCAGAGCTACAATTTCCAGAGTGGTTTAACAGTCAATCCCTTTCCCTATATGCAACTCAGAGGAAAGAGATCCAGGAATGTGCCTACCATCGGAAGGGTTGCAGTTCCCTGCCATCCCCACGGAGATGCCGAAGAAAACAAAGACTGGTCACCTAGAAACGAAAGAAAATATTAGATATAAATTGCTCCTGTGCCTTAAAATCGCTGCAGTACCTGAAGTAAGATTGGATGGGGGGTGGGGGAGAGAAAACTCAAAACAACCCAAAACAATCCTGCAAATACTGTCCCAGATTGAAAGTGCTGCCTGCCTGCCCTCCTTTTGTTTAGTTGTTTAGTCGCGTCCGACTCTTCGTGACCCCATGGACCAGAGCACGCCAGGCACTTCTGCCCTCCTTAACATGCAGAATAAACAGATGGGCAGTGCAAACAGAGCTTCTTCGCTACCCAGGTATCTGCAAGAGAGCTTCCTCTGCCCTCTGCATTCAGTTCTTCAAATGGGCCCCGCTTTTAGCTGAGACATAACACTGGCTCCCTGCACACTACAGTTTGTAAATCAGGGACAAACTACACGAGATGTCCTTCACACAACGAGCCATTGTGACAATGGCTTTCAAAGCTTTAATGGTAGTTGCGGGGTCTCCAGTTCAAATGTGGATGGGGTACAGAGTTATTATTCTGAGTATATATCAAGTTTCTATACTGTCCTTCATCTGAGGAGCACAGGGTGGTATACAATTCAGAAACACGAAAATATATACCATGGAAACAAACAAAAACAATACCTCCCCCCCCAAAAAAAAATTTAAAAGGCCATCAATTGTTTAATCAGCCAAAGGCCTGGGAGTAGAGGAATGTTTTTGCTTGGCACCTAATAGTGTGTAACAACAGCACCAGGCAAGTCTCCCTGGGGCATCTGGCTTGTGTGCAGAAGGTTGCAGGTTCAATCCTTGGCAGCTCCAGAAAGGGCTGGGAATATCCCTTGTCTGGAGTCCTGGAGATCAGTTGTGAGTGAGAGTAAACAATGTTGAGTGAGATGGACCATGCATCTGACTAAGGCAGCTTCCTATGGGAAGTGAGGAGGGGGGGTCACCAGGCATTTGCCCCTCTGGTGTGGTCCTGATCCACTTCCCCAACCTGAGACCTTGCTGCTCACACTGCAAGAAAAGCTTCCATGACAACGTATCGTGTGGTTGGGGGGTCTCACCTAATTTGGCTTTCCACAACCAATGCACTTCGTTCCTCAGGAGCAGGTTTCCTCAACCTTGGCCCTCCAGATGTTTTTGGCCTACAACTCCCATGATCCCTAGCTAGCAGGATCAGTGGTCAGGGATGATGGGAATTGTAGTCTCGAAACATCTGGAGGGCCGAGTTTGAGGAAGCCTGTTAAGGAGGGAGCGCTTCCAGCTCCTGACACCAACCCCTCCCCCCATTCCACCGGTGCAAATTCTCTTCTGCATACCCTTATTTTTTAAAAAGAAAAGGCACTGGGGTTCCCCCCCCCACGTTCTTTATTTCTGAACAACACACTGTGTAAAGTACAACAGTGGGTGAAGCTGGGGTGTGGAATTCAAAGGAGTGGGGATTGTGAGAGAAGAAAACAGGGGGGGGGAGGAATAATAAAAGGATTGAGTGGTATTTGAGGGAATTATGTAAGCAATGATACACGTAAGTAATCCAGTTCTGTTTGTTGAATCGAGTAGTATTAAAAGCTATCTGTAAATACCTGCGCAGGCAAACCAACTGTTCTAGGAAGTATTTTCTTGGCATAGTCTTTTAAACATAATCTCCTAAGGCAGTGTTCCCCAACCTTGGGCCTCCAGCTGTTTTTGGACTACAATTCCCATCATCCTTGACCACTGGTCTTGCTAGCAAGGGATGATGGGAGTTGTAGTCCAAAAACAGCTGGAGGCCCAAGGTTGGGGAACACTGTCCTAAGGGATAGGGCCATAGCTCAGAACCACAGTGCATGCTTTGCATGCAGATGGTCCCAGGTCCAATACCTGGCTACATCTCCACTTAAAAGCAGCCTGCGGCAGATAATGGGAATGAGCTTCTTTCCTGAGACACCCTGGAGAGACACTGCCAGTTAGGGTAGACAATATGGGGCTGGGTGGATAAATACCCTGACCCAGTGGCAGCTGGTACCCACTGGGGCTGGTGGGATGGAATGCAGGAAGCCCAAACAGCAAGCGGGGCCAGAGCCAATGACAGGCAAAGTCAACAAGTCCAAATGTTGCCCCCCCTCCTCCTCCCTAAGCAAGCAATCCTGAAGCTAAGCAGGAGGAAACGGACAAGCAGTTCCGCCTCTGGGGACCAGTTGCGTACCTTCCAACGCAACTGGTCCCCAGAAGACCACCTTCTGGGTCTGCACTCCCATGTGAGTCAAGTGCCCCACACCAGATCGTGGCCCCAAAATAAGGTTTTTTTCTGGGCACAGAACCCCAAAACCTGTGTTTTTGGGTGCTGTGCCCAAAATCGCACGAGATTGTGGCAGCCATTTTGGACACTGTCCACTCACAGGGGAAAAAACAGGATGATCCGGGTTTTTTTCCAGGGCAGTTGACAAGTATGTCAGCTGTAAGCAAGCAAACAGGCAGGTGTGGGCTAGCTGAGAGCCTGGAGTTGATGGGAAAGTTCCTTGTCCACTCTAATGAACCAGCTTCCGCTGGCCTGACCTGATGTGTGTTATCTGTCTCATGAATAAAAATAATAAAAAGGCCATGTACAGTAACGATGGGTGCCTTCTCTTTTCCACTTTGGAGGTGTCAATTACCTCTTGTCAATCTTAAAGTTTAGTGCTTTATCGTCAATGAAACAATCTATGGCAGCCCACCCCAGTTTGGTGCCTTCCAGAAATTATTGTATTATGACTCCCATCATCCCTGACCATCAATCATGCTGGCTGAACTGGTTGGTTGGTTGGTTGGTTGGTTTGATTGATATCTGGTGGGAGTTTGAGTCCAAAATTTCGGGAGGGTACCATGCTGTGGATGGCTGATTTCATTCAACATGCACTCATTATCATTTTGCAACATGCAACATTCTCACTTTGTCTAGAGTTTGCAAAACCCTAGTTAATGGGGAAGGGACTTCCCCTGCAAGGTCATAGAGAACGTTGGTATATCTCTTCTGGATTGCATGCAATCCTTTCTAGGAAAAACAACAACACCATTTCCACTTACCTACAGCAGCAGTAAAATACTGCTCAATCTCATTGGCTGTGAGCACTCTTTCCCATATGATAAATTCATCGAAAGCCCCATTGACATAACGCTTAGCCTGGTCACCCTCTGACCCTGTCAACATGTTTGAATTAGAGTCATCGTAGCTGTAGAAAACTGTCCCCTTTGGATCAGTGGTATTTAAGGTTCCATTGACGTAGACTTTCAAGCCATCTTCAGATTTCCAGGTAAATAGAACATGAGTCCATTGGGGACCTGAATGAAAAGCATAGAAAGCTAGAGCAGACACTATGACTCTATAAACCCATTTAAGAACACAAGAAGAGCCTTGTTGGATGAGCCCAAAATCCCTACAGCAATCTGTTTCCCACAGTGCCCAACCAGATGGCTATGGGAAGCCCATAACCAAGGTGTGAGGACAAGAGCCTTCTCCCCCTGTTGTTCCCCAGTGACTGGTATTCTGAGACATGTAGATATCTGGTCTTCAGGATAGAAGATAGCCCTCATGACTAGTAGCCATTGATAGCCTTACACTCCATGAATGGGACTACTCAAATTCATTTCCCTCTACTCAAATAGATTCCCTCTCATTGTTAGGTTTCTATCTGCTAGATCTTCAGGCTCTATAATGCTATTGTGTAGCTTGGGCTTCTGCAAATTGTAACTGCTATGCACATAATAGGGGGAGAGGAATACATTTTCTCAATATAGCACCGTGTTTGTCTATCCCACCCCCTTTAAAGCCATCCACACTAGAAGCTATCACAAAAGGTATCAATGAGTAATTAAATGATGCAATTAATTATGTGAAGAAGCAGTCTATTTTGCCTTTCCTAGATCTATTGAAATTCTAATTCACCAGGAGGAATTAATGGACTTACATTAGTCAATTCCAATGGGTCTGTTCTGAGTCAAACTAACATTGGATGCAACCCTAAATTTCTAGCCTGTATGACATTGCCTGGTGAATTCTCAGAAGCTGAGTAAGATTTCTAGTGCCCAGGAGGGTGAGGTTTCAGTACTCTACATTATGAATAGTGGAACTAGAATTGCGCAGATAAGCACAACTATTCAACTTTGCATCCTTTATGCAATTTTGGCAGGATACAGAACCCAGCTTTTCTCAATGCAGAATTCTGGCAAACCTAAGCGCAGACATCCCCAATAATAGCTGCATAAAGGAAGGGTGAAGTTCAAGAGATGTAGCTTTTTTCCATCACAATGCAATGGGAGGAAAGGATCTATACTTTCAGGACTCTCTTCCCTGTTAGGCAGTTGTTAAAGGCAGAAGAGTTCACCTTTTAAGACCCTTTGAATGTGACCTTTTTATGTAAAAATACATTTACTATGGTTCATCACTAAATTTCAATGAATCCATACAGACCTGAAAAATCCAAATTTACCTGGCGGAATGAAATCGGCTTCCCACTTCTTTGAAATCTGATGGTTAAAGAGCTCTATAGACCCTTTGCTTTCACTGAAGTAGACTTTAAATCCACTGGAAAGTACCTGATCCCCATATGCAGGAGGGGGCTTAGTCTGCTGCTCCTGAGTCTTCCAGAAAAAAGAGAAGGTTACACCTAAAGAATGGCAAAAAGAACATGAATTGTCTGTGAGAAGATAGACGTGGAACTGAAATTCATCAGAACACAGGTGGGTGCAGCCCAGCTTGAGCAGGGCACACCTCAGTTGTGCTTCCACTTTGGCTAATCTACTTTATTTACATATAAACACACACGGAGCACTGCAACATGGCTCCCTCTCTCTCTAGCATCAGACAGCAGAGAGATAATAACAAAGGACAATAGTCCCACTTCACGGAACACAGTAACACAGACATCCTGTCTCCATCACTTCCCACTCTGTGGAGTCAAAACACATACCGTCATGAGATAGACAAAAATCTCATGACTGCAATCACGGAACAGAAATTCTAACATCTACTGCAACTAGGTTGCTCCTCCCTCATTCTGCAATCCTGGCTAATTACCTCCTCCTGTCTCTCCACACGCTCCCCCTCTGTCAGCAATGGGATGCAGCTGACACTGGGTAGAGTGAGGCAGCCACCGTAGACAGCAGGTGTTGGAGAGGGAGAGGCAGAGAGCAGTTCCGGTTTCTCCCAGTTTCTCATTTTTCCAATCTTAAATTCAGATTTTCACATTCCCAAACCAGTTTGCAAGAAAAAGAAGAAGAAGAAAAGAAGAAGAAGAAGAAGAAGAAGAAGAAGAAGAAGAAGAAGAAGAAGGAGGAGGAGGAGGAGGAGGAGGAGGAGGAGGAGGAGGAGGAGGAGGAGGAGGAGGTCCTCATGAAAACGAGCCCCAGTCAGCATGGCCAGAGGTCAGGGATGATGAGATCTATAGCCCATTGGCATTTGGGAGGAACCACGTTGATTGGATCAAGATGAGTTCTGGGGTCATCATCAATTTATTAATCACCTTATATAGAATAGTCTCAGGGCAATGTATCATTTTGAAAAGCAACAAATAAATAAATAAAGCGCGTGCAGAACAGCAGATACATTTAAAACTAAACTAGAAAGAATGAAACTCATGGCAAAGGCCCATCAAAGCTGGGGAAGCTTCTCAGAACACAAATGCCTTCATTTGTTTCCAGAAAGAGCGAATAGTGGACAAAGATTCTATTCCGCAGAAATGTATAACTGCAAGGGGACTATAAGGTTAATCTAGTCCAACCCCTTGCGATGCAGGAATCTTTTGCCCAATGTGGGGCTCAAACCCACGACCCTGAGATTAAGGGTCTCAGGCTTTACCGACTGAGCTAGGGACAGCCACGTTAAAAGCCCTGCTCTGAGTTGCTGTGGCTTCTGCTCTCTTTGGAACTTGCAGGAGAAACTTTGCCACAGACCACAGCAATCTACTGGGTGGATGAGGGACAAGGCAATCTCTCAAGTGTTGCCTCTGCAACCCTTTCCTGGACCAAGGGGCCAGGGCTGCATCCACCAGGCAAACGCCCGCTCGCTGATATTCCCTGCTTTCCGCTCCAGTCCTTTCCGCAAGGGGGAAATGTGTGGTTTTGCTAGCATTGTTGATTATTATTTTAGGCCTGCTGAGTTTGGTATTTCTGTTGGTGGAGGGAAGCATGCCGTCAGTCTCAGAATGGAAGGTTGCCAAGCTGAGCTACAGTTGTGGTCCTCCCCGTTCTCCAGGAATTTCAGCTCCAAGTCTGACTGACTAAGCTCTCCCTTGTTTACACCCTACATTGATAGGACAACAGTCTGAAGAGCTGAGTTTTGTGAAAACATCTCTTCCCTTTTGCCAAAGCTATCTAAAAGTCAGTCACTGTCAGTGGGAGGGGTGGGGAACAAGCAGGAATGGGTGAATCCGTCCATTTTGTAGGAATTGGTGAATCTGTCAATTTCAGTTCTTTCAGTTTCTCATTTATCCAATGTTTAAATTCATTCATCTGCATTTCTGCAGCAATTTTCTTTTCTTTCTTTTTCAAAACCATCCTAAAAATTCTTCATCATTTTAGTGTGACTTTCTCCTAATAAACACATTTTTGTATGCAGTTTTTATTACTGTACACATTCAATTTCTCCTGATACAATGCATTTTTCTCCTGATACAATGCATTTTTGTATGTTTTCTCCCACTAATATATCCCTTTTTCTGCACACTTCCCCCTAAAATTTCCATTTTTGTAAACACTGTTTGATTCGAGAACTGCATTGCAAAATTCAGGTAAATGCAATATGCACATTTTGAATAACAACTGTTTGCATACATGTTTCAGAATGCTCAGATTAGCTAGATATGCCTTTAAATGCAAGATGAATAAAATCCCCTCCCCCAATCCCTAGAGAAGGGGGAGCTTTTGTGCACCCCAGACAAGGAGTTCACCCTCACACATTGCTAGATTCCTGGAGCATACAAACTGCAGTTGCATTCCACACTGGAATTTAAAAAAGAAAAAGGCTACAGTCCTAAGCATGCTTGATAGACACCCAAGCATCTTCTTTTAAAATAGACAGAGTTGTTCAGGCTGTGTGCTGCCCACCTGTCTGAGGTTGGCAAGAAGAAGAAGAAGAAGAAGAAGAAGAAGAAGAAGAAGAAGAAGAAGAAGAAGAGGAGGAGGAGGAGGAGGAGGAGGAGGAAGAAGAGGAAGGAGGAGGAGGAGAACAACAACAACAATTTATTATTTGTCCCCCCACTGACTGGGTTGGCAGCGATGTCAGGCTGCCTGATATTCAGGCAAGCCAGCTGTGATGGCTTGCAGCTACCTTAGTTTGATGGTGATGAGCCAGGTGAGGTCACCTGTTCAACTCTGGTGGAGCAGGAGGCATTGAATGGAAGCATGTCAGGAGTAAACAGCATGGGGGATCCTTTAAGGGACATTTGGGGTGTTGCATCAAAACCCCAGCCCAGTTCAGGGTCGCCCTGTTTGCCACAAACATACCAAAGTTGCAGGTATGACTGACAATTCAGTTGTAGGCTTAAACTTCCTACCACTTCTGAAATGTTCTTCCATCGTGGTTTCTCCCTGACATTTATAAGGGTGTGTGAGTTTCCCCATCTCCTTTTTCATACCATTGTTACTCGCCACACAATGCAGTGTTTGAATGCCTTAATGATCTTGCTTGTGAGCCCTGGGAAAGCTAGTGATGGCATGATAAACATTTACCCCGTGCCTTATATTATCCTCGTCATTAGAGAATGAACATTGCAGACCAAGAGGTTTTTATTTCCCAAATGGTGTGCTTGTGTGTGTAGGAGAATATTTGTTATACACACAACAAAATGTGCCGATAACAGCAAACAAATCCCTCTGGCCTGTCGAGATTAGATGAAAAGCCATCCTTTCAGGAAAATGGGTTGCAGAGGCTGAATCCATTGGTCTGCTGCCGCCTTTGCTCTGGTTGGAACCAACAGCTCTTTGGTTCCTCCCCTTCTGGAACCCTACATGATTGGGGTTCTAGATCATGTGGGAAGCCACCGTGAGTGGCGGAGGAGCCCCACATCACCCAGTCACATTCCATGAGATGGTGGGCATCAAGGATGGTAGCGAAAGAGGTGGACCTCAGCACTCTCACCCCCCCCACTTGCATGTGGGGTTTACACGTGAGCAGAATGCATGAACAGGACTTAGGTCATTTCAGAACAACTAGAAGGGATAGTGTGTGTGTGCGAATGCGCGCATGCAAAGCACGCCAACAGAGAGGCTGTGACTCCGCCCACCGCCAGCATGCTGCCAACCAATTACTTCCAAGGGAATGTAGTCCTTGGCAGTGGAAAAAGGTTGTCTGCCTCCATCATAGCTTAACCCACCTCAAGAGGTTGCTATGAGGTTAAAATGGAGACAAACACCTGTATGCTAGACTCCAGAAGAAATCATGGGACACCAATTGATTCTTTTCTTTCTTTTTTCTTTAAAGTGTTAACGACATTCTTGAAGCGAATTTTTGGGGGATTGTTCTCCTGGACTGATTGCTGACCAGAATAAACTTACCATGTATCCTTAGAGAGATTTAAGCCAAATATTGTTCCTAACCAACAATACTTATAACTTGAGAGACCTAATGCAGTCCTAAGGGGGTGATGCTCAGCTGTGATAGTGCTCTGAGATATGAGTCAAGAGAAGGATATTAAAATACAGGGAAGATGTCTCTAAAACACAGTCCTTCAAGACAAACTCTTTGTGGAATTTGCTTGGGGAATTTCTGGCAGCAGCGATCTAATTTCTTTCTAGAAGCCCATACTTAAATTACAGCAAGAAAACTGCACCAGTAATTCTGATAAATGTATTTGCATTTTCTAGGCAAATAATCTGGATTTTCTTTCTTTTTTTCTTTCTTTTTAATTAAAATGGGAGGTTGCAGAAAATACACATCGTTAAACCTCAAAAGAGTTGGTGATGCGTGTCTTCTTTCAGCAGCTTTCTCAGGATCCTCCTCCCTTTCTCTGGGGAAAGTGTGATGCAATAAAGGAATATAAAGGAGACAATGACGACTGTGGCTTTGTACTAACCTTCAGGTTCACAGAATTCCGGGTTAACAATGCAAGAGTTCTGATGGCTTCCAAAAAGGAGGAAGGTCATTCCTTTAACATCTGGGACGCAGATGCCTTTGTTCACTATTCCTTCTACAATATCTACCAAAGGAGGGAAATTGTTTAAATGATACATTTATTTCTTTTTAATAGCCTTGTCAGTTCAAACAGCCTAGGGATACAACTCAGGCAATTTTAAATAGCTTTCTTCCTATTCCTCTCCCCTCAGTCCCATCTCTATGGGGCCTCAGACCCAATGACCACTGCAATCCATCTCACTCCTTTGCATCCTCCCAATGCTATTCAGACCCTCCCCTGAGTACTCCATACATTGCAGAAGACTTAGTGCACTGCTTTAAATGTATAGTGCACATAGGGGCCTATCACTTTAAACACTCATGTCATTCCCCAGAGAATCACGGGAAACATAGTTTGTTAGGGGCTCTGAAAGAGAACCCTCTGTTCCCCTCCCAGAGTTAAAATAGCCAGGGTTCCCTGCAAGGAGCCTCTGGTTATTAAACCACTCTGGGAACTGTAGAACCAGTAAGGGGAATAAGAGGGTCTCCGAACAACTCTCAAAATAAAAGGCAGTTTCCAGGATTCTTTGGGAGGAAGCCATGACTGTTTCAAGTGGTGTGGTACTGTTTTAAAGGCATGGTGCAGATGGGGGTCTTAAGAAAGTGGGTAGTCAGTCTCTCACTTTGTTCTGAGATGGTGGAAGCTCCCATCTCCTGAGTTCTAATAGCAGCCTGCTGGGTGGGGTGGACCTATGGCTCTACCTTCCCCACACCAGGAGCTTACCTAGATGGAAGGGTATTGGTGAAGGAGAGCTCTCCCATTGAGCCAATCCAGTGCTTCTAACCATTGCACTCAGGCACCCCCAAGCTCATTTCTAGGGAACTCACAAGGGATGGCTGTGGGCTCTGCTGTCTCTCAGCTTCTGGCCCCTGCAACTGGCAGAGCCAATAAGGGCCCTTAAACATTACATTGCAATTCATGAGCCATAGTTACGGATCATCTGTAAAGCACCATGGCGTGAAGAAGGTTTTAATTTACCATGGTTAAGTGCTACACGTGCACCAAGCTAACCATGGCTAATGCAATTTCCATGTCTCTCTGCTTTCTCTTCTTTTTGAGGTGACAAGTAGATGGTATACAGTAGATCCAAGTTGAGGTATACAGTAGATCAGTGTTCCCCAACCTTGGGCCTCCAGCTGTTTTTGGACTACAATTCCCATCGTCCTTGACCACTGGTCTTGCTAGCGAGGGATGATGGGAGTTGTAGTCCAAAAACAGCTGGAGGCCCAAGGTTGGGGAACACTGCAGTAGATGGTTTCTGGGGCTTAGCAAACCATGGTTTCACAGTATTTTTTGATATTGTAGCCGGAGTTAAGGCCACAACCCTTGGTTAGACCTAATCATCCTGTTTTGTCTCCCCTGGACCTACTGGAGTATCATTTACTACAAGCTGAGATATACAGTAGATCAGGCATAGGCAAACTCAGCCCTCCAGATGTTTTTGGCCTACAACTCCCACGATCCCTAGCTAACAGGACCAGTGGTGGGGGATGATGGGAATTGTAGTCCCAAAACATCTGGAGGGCCGAGTTTGCCTATGCCTGCAGTAGGTGGTTTCTGGGGCAGCAGAATGCAGCTTAGCAAACCATGGTTTCACAGTATTTTTTGATATTGTAATCAGAGTTAAGGCCACAAACCATAGTTAGACCTAATCATCATCCTGTTTTGTCTCCCCTGGACTTACTGGAGTATCATTTACTGAACCTGCATACCCACAAAGAAACTCCTTTATACTCTGTTTTGAGAGGGAGAATTTCCATTTAAAACCATACAGATTTAAAATAATTTTTAAAGAAAAACGGTGCCTGCTTTAAAACCACGTCTAGCTTACAGCATTATTCAGAATGGCCCGAGAGTGACAAACGCAGAAGAATCATACTGAATCCTCACCTACAGTTGCAGAGAAGTTAGAGTAGGCAGAATCATTGGTATATACAAAAGTAGAATTATGGGAAGGAAGCACAGTGAAGTTGTGGAATCTTAAAGCTGGGTGGAACGACAAAAGACAAAAAAAGAGAAAAGCAACACAATGAATAAATGCAAGATGAATATGAATCAGCCAGTCTGTATCTCTCAATGTGAGGAGTGAACAGTAAAGTAGTGAAAGCTCCTCCCGGGGGATTGTACCCAGACTGGGGACAGCGAGCACATTCAGTAGCAGATGGCTTGGTGGGGCAGAACTGCTTACCAGGAGAGAGAAGGGGAGGTGGCATGGAGGGTGTCGCGGTGCTAATGTACTGGCAGACACACTGGATTGGTTCCATTGATGCCTTTGCCCTGCACCACCTGCCCTGCTGCCTCGCCCTTTGTGGAGGTAACGCTCCGCTTTGCGAAGGCAAACCTCACACCAGACATGCAACAGTATGTCAAGGAGTGTTACGTCTGCTTTCCCTGACCTTCTTGGCTAGAAAACAGGGCTTTTCCCCTGACATTTTTGTTTTCTCACAATTTGTTTGTTAGACATATCGCTTGGCTGGAGCATGACCGGGGACGCAGACGTAATCAAGTATCGGGGAAAACGTTTCAGGGAAACACCTGCTGACACGTGTATTTGCTAATGCTGGAAATGTGCTTAGATGGAAATACGTTAAGTTCAGGGAGGTTTCACTACTGTTTCCAATTGTTGACTTCTGCTAATAAAATGAGCCTCAGCAGAGCTAGTCGGCAGCTTGCTTGGAGCATGCTTGCCAGCGTGCTTCTGTACAGTTCATCTGCATCCAACCTCCTGTCGTCTCCATTACTCCAACAGCCCTTCCAGTAAGGAATGGCAACTCACCTGCCAGGAAGTCAGATAAGCACTTCCAGCCCAATCCATCTGCTGCTGAGCACATCCTACTCCACCTAGAGCCTGGGTTTGCCCTACCTAAGACTTTCTTTTTTCCAGGGGTGAGGAAGTGGGGAGAGGGACACAGAACATGTTTTGTCATAGGGTAGCCTCCAATTAAAGAGAGAGTGCTTGTTTTTTGGAATGGTGGGGGGGAGGAAATCTGATTAAGAAATGAAAAAGCGTGATGGCCAGTTCCTCACCCACACACCATATCCTTTTTTTAAAAAAGAGACATTGCTTCCAGCTCCACCCACCTGGCCTCTCCAGGTCTGCCATGCTAAGCTGACTCCCTAGCTCAAGGTGGAATTTTCAAAATTATCATCACTCTTATCATGCAATCTCACCTTTTTTGGGGGGAGGGGGCAGTATCTCAGGTCGTTTCCACACCGTACATTTAAAGTACAGTGGTACCTTGGGTTAAGAACTTAATTCGTTCTGGAGGTCCATTCTTAACCTGAAACTGTTCTTAACCTGAAGCAACACTTTAGCTAACGGGGCCTCCTGCTGCCGCCGCGCCGCCGGAGCACAATTTATGTTCTCATCCTGAAGCAAAGTTCTTAACCCGAGGTACTATTTCTGGGTTAGCGGAGTCTGTAACCTGAAGCGTATGTAACCCAAGGTACCACTGTACTCTTATACCACTTTAACAGTCATGGCTTTCCCCCAAAGAATCCTAGGACCAGTAGTTTGCTAAGGGTGCTGAACTCACAAACTTACCATTCCTACAAGCAGAATTCTTTCACAGCCTGCATCTGCATTGGAATTTTTTTTTAAGATGTCATGCCACTTGTATATTTGTCACCCAGGACTCCTTTAGGAGGAAGAGCGGGGTATAAATTAAATAAACAAATAAAATCCAAGCACCCTCAACAAGCCGCAGTTTCCCCATGGATTCCCCTGTTAAAGTGGTATAAGCATGATTTATATGTATGGTTGGGATCTGACCTAAATGACAAAGCATCTTCCAGGTCCAACCCCTGCCACATAGTGGTGCAGCAATAAAACGGCTGGCATGTTTTCAAAGCTAAGCAGGATCCAGTATGGTTTCAAATTGGATGGGGGACCACATGTTGAGATTCCTGCATTGCAGGGGGTTGAACTAGAGGAGAATTGGGGTCCCTTCCAACTCTACAATTCTAGGATTCTATGGTCTCTAGAGAGGCCTCTGAAAGACCCCTGCCTGAAACCCCAATTGTCTGCCAATCAGTGCAGACAACACTGAACAAAGTTCTAAAAACTCTGGTGTTCCCCCCAAAAGGCAACCAACACCTCATTTGTGTGCATTGGTGATGCCATTTGGGCTAAATAAGCAATGGCGCTCGCAGCCAAGAGAGAATGGTATTGGCGCTTCACTCGGGAACTCCCATGTGCCCATGTCCCATGGGGACTCCCATCAGTGGAGGCCAATTCTCATCAAGACTGTTGAGACTGGAGGACCACAGCAGGTGGAGTCAGATTCACTGACAGCCAGAGCCAGTTAAGTCTGCTTTCACTCCCATCCTCTGTTGAGTTCCACAAAGGCAACACCAAGAGCAAGGCAGAGGAGGCTAACAGCCACCAGTGGTACCCTGTGGTCTGGTTGTAAGTAGGAAGACAGGAGGACAAGGGCACAGTGAGGTTGGTGGGGCAGTGCCCCACTGGCACCAATGGACCCAGACTCCACTGATTTCATAGCAAATAGCCATTTAAGTGTTACAGGGGGAAAATTACTTGCTGCTCCACTATTTCCCCCCAGAACACAGAGATACCTTGCATCAAAGTCACCTCCAAAATGTGTGTATATATATGTATCACTTCTATCCATCTAATCTATCTATCTATGCATGTATCTAAAAAAAGCCAGTCTGGTGACGCTGGTATCTGCAGAAACAAGCAATTGAGAGATACAGAACTGGATTTACAGCCACACAAAGATTTCAACAAATGAAATGGATTAACATGAAATGCAAGCTTATGACGCTCTGAGGATTGATGAGCGGGAAACATGGAGTGAAAAAAACACAACTGCGTGGAATTCATGGCGGATGCGAAGGCTGAGTTGGGTGGGTACAAGTAAATAAAACGTGAAAGACTCTTTGGCTACCGACGGAAGGGATGCATGTAATCAGAGAGTGATATCAAAGCAGCGATTTTGCTGCTGTGGCATCCATGAAAGGAGACCTTCTAGGACAGGGCTGGAGAACCAGGTAACCTCCAGATGCTATTGGACTACAGTTCCCATCAGCCCCAAACAGTAAGGTCAATGGTCAGGAATGGCGAGAGCTGTAGCCCAGCAACATCCAGCCAGCCATAGGTTCCCCATCCATGTCCAAGCAGCCTCCCTGCTGTTATGACCTTACACAACCAAAACAATACATACAGCCCCAGCTTATTGCTGTCTACTCAGAAGTAAGGCCTACTGAGTTCAATGGCACTTGCTCCTGTGTGAGGCGTGTGTAGGTTTTGCAACCTTAGTCCTGGTTCACATATGCATGCTTTGCAGTGTTAGAAACCCAGATATGTAAGCTAGGTGTCAAATGGCTCCTTAAACCAGGGTTACAGTTGCCAAAATGGAATGCCTAGCTGCCAGAGACAGAGAGCTTGAAAGTTGTATTTTTCAATATGACTTTTTGGTTCCTGAAATTCGTTACGATTGTGCAGGTAAAATATCACAGATAGGATTCCAAAGAATGTGTTGCTAGTGTGTGGAAACAGTCAAGATCCCCAGGCATGTACCTCCAGATGGTAGAGATGTCAGGTGCCACCCTGACACCTGGGCATCTTCACTTGGTCACAAAGTGCAAAATGCTCCTGGCACCAAGCAAATTTCAAATGCTGCATGCTCATTGTTCATTGGATCAAGGAGTAACTTGTTGCATGTCTGAATGAGCCATCACAGAGTATCAGTTGCCATAAAGAAAAGTTTGAGATCATGGGAAGTTGTCACGGAATCAACACATTTCATTGGAGAGGGTGGGGGTCCCTATTCACATATTCATCTGCCACCTTTAAGGTTCAGTCTTAATGGGAGATGAAGTGGTCAAAGGACTTCTGAACTGTACCACTTCATGTGGTGGTAGTGGTGATGAGAGATGACTGAACACTACACATTGTATGTGTTGGGTGAACAACTCCACACATAAAACTAGCATGTCAGGAGAGAAGGTTTGGACCAGGACACACTTCTCCCTGACATGCGTCTTTTTATGAGCATTCAACCCACACGTGCACCCTGAAGTCAAAGGTGGTTCTGTCCAAGCCTCCCTCATTGCTATTTCTGCTTCTGTGGACCAGCCTAAATGCTGGATAAATCTCATGATGGGGTACCAAGTCAAGTGCGATTCCCATGCATTTGTGAACCAGCCTGGGGTGCTTACGTTCCTAATCCAAACACGAATCACAGGGAGCATCGTCAGAAGGCAAAAGGCATGCTTTGTGCCTATATTTACATAATACACACACAAATCCAACCACAGTCCACAAACACAAATGAGTTTCAGCGCAGGATCTAAAGGACAGCATGAACAAAAGCCTTCTTGGGATTGGGAGATGGAGGAAGACTACTTTCAGACATGGGGCAAACATGCATTACCCCACAGAGACACACACACCCACTACCCCCAAACTGTGTTAAATGCATAGCTTTATCCCATGTGGTTTCCATGTGACGGAGGCACCACTTGGTATTATACCAAGCACAGGAGTAATTTTTAAGCACACACAACACAGCTGGTTATCATTGCCCCTCCGAACCCATCATCAATGTTTCAGTTGGGCTCATGAGGTTGCCCACCCACCAATATTGTCTTTGAAAGCATAGTTCTGTGTGGGTCACCAGCCCGCCTCTTCCCCCACCAAAGATCAATGGAGTCTGTGGTTTGAAATGCCAACAGAAAAGGTCATTTGGGTCCAAAACATTTGCTGGGCCAAACACAAGTGGGTAGCCCACAAAGCCAGTGTTTCTCAACCTTGCTTTCTTACACTCTGAATTTCATAAAGATTTAAGTCACTCTAAAGGGAGTGGGGAATCACCGTTCTTCGATCTACCTCCATTCGCGTCTCGCAACTCATGGATTCCTTCCACGGCCCCCAGGGGCCAATAATGCGATGCTTGGGCCAGGACATCAAAACCTGTCAAGAAAACACAATGTCAAGGACTGCTTTGAAGATGTCTTCCACGGGGACGCAGGGAGCGTCTTATACAAAGTCTGACCATTGAGTTCATCTAGTTCAAGTATTGTCTACACTGACCATCAGCAGCTTCCCAGGATTTAAGGCAGTGTGGTAGAGTGGTTAGAATGTCAGACTGAAACCTGGGAAACCAGGGTTCAAATCTGCCACTCCAGCCTTGAAGCTCACTGAGTGACCATTGGCCAACCCCTGTCTCTCAGCCTAACCTACCCCACAGGGTTGTTGTGGGGCAAAGTGGGGAGAGGGAGAGCCACCTGTGCCACCTTGAGCTCCTTGGAAGAAAAGTCGGCAATAGCTGGAATAAATAAACAAACAAACCCTATCTGGAGAAACCAAGATTTGAACCTGGGACCTTCTGCATTCAAAGCAAATGTTCTGCCACTGAGCTACAACCCATCTCTTGAGCATAATGGGAATAGGATCAACTCCTCTCCAGCAAATGAAGCAAACACATATTGGTTCCCTTATTATTATTTTCCATTTCACTTCATTTATTTAATTTGTGATTCACTTCCCATGAGGCACCTCAAAGTGATTTACAGTGTACTAAAAAACATATGCAGAGCGTTTGAATAGATAAAAACCAATTAAAAGCTAATTATAGAGATGAGAACTTTTTTTTTAAAAAAAGCAACATCAATAACGCATATACAGTCAATTCAAATCCATTGCAGGTACCAGCTCAGATAACTGAGCAAACCAAAAATCTCTACTCAGAAGGCGTTGAAAGAGGAAAGCCTTCAATGGGTCATGAAAGAGATAGTCTGAAATGAGGCAGACAGTGCAGCGTAGTGGTTAGAATATTGCAGTAGGACCTGGGAGATCGGGGTTCAAATCCCCACCCAGCCATGAAGTGGTGACCTTGGGCCAGTCATTGCTTTTCAGCCTAACCAACCTCACAGGGTTGTTGTGGAGTTTAAATGGCAAGGGGTAGACCTGTGTTAGCCACCTTGAGACACTTGGGGGAAAGGTGAAGTACAGTATAAGTTAACAATACTGATATGCAATGGGAAGGAGTTTCCAAGGGTAGGTGCTGCCACACAATGTGTGTATTTATGCTTGTTTCATTCAATGAGTCTACTCTGAGTAAGACTAGCACTGCATGCAATCCCATGGGGGGTTTAGATGTGGAAGAATGGCCTCAATCTGCAAAGAAACATCTGGAAAAGCAAACATTTAACAATTCCACCATTCTGCGCGCACGTGCACACGCAGAGAGAGAACATCTGTGGCTTTTTGTTTTCTGCTTTCTGCTTCCTACCAGCAAATAAATAAGCCCCGCAGCTAATCTGTAATGTTGAGTTTCCTTAAGTGCTTTATTCAGCTGCAGATGGTCATCTGCACTGAGATCGAAGTGCACAAGCTAACAAAGAACAAGCCCTCCAGGGGCTTTTGCTTCCCAGTGACAACATAGCTGCAGAATACCAACGTAAGAAGAGTCTGAATCAGGCCAGGGGCCCATCTAGTCTGGCATACTGTTGCTGCAGTGTCCAACCCAATGCCCTTGGGAAGCCCACTGTGCTGGGCCCAGGGGTTAACCCGAGCAACGCGGTCCAGGTCCGGTCCTGAATCCAAGAATTCCACAAAGAGTCAGTCCAACAGGGCCAAGGCAGGACACAAGGCAGGGAACCAGGCAAGGACAGGTACAGGATCTCAGGCAGGGTCTGGCATACAGCAATGTCTGGCATACAGCAATGGCATACAACCTAGGGCGGGGTCTGACAGCCTTTTATCTTTGTTGGGGTAACAGCCGGTCCTGATTCCCCGGCGACTCACCTCCCTGTTTCACCCAAAGGCGAGCACTCCTCCTGCGAGTACTCAGGTCTCTCCTTCTCTCAGACCTTGGTCTCTGCAGCTCAGGAGAGGTTGGTGGGTTACTAGACCCAGAGGCTGCCTCAGCCTCCCCTGACCAAACCGGTAGTGGAGCAGCTGTAAGTGATGGCCCAGCTGAAGGCAACCAGGTCATCCCCGCATCTGGAGCCAGGGCAGGCTCAGGCCCCTGACTCGGCCCAGCTGGTGTTTGTTGCAGGGGAACCTGTGCAGACTGGGGCTCTTCAGAATCAGGCCCCAGACTTGGTCCAGAGGCCGCCTGAGGCAAAGGATCTGGTGCGGACTGAGACTCCTCTGGTTCCGAGCCTGAGTCCAAGCCCAAGTCCCAGGCCATCACACCCACAAGTGGGAAATGAGTACAACAGCACTGGCATTCAGAGCCGTGTTGCCTCTGACAACGGACATAAGCCCATCATGGCTAGTAGGCCTTGGTTGGTCCTTCCGTGCTGGAGGCTGAAATGATGGTTCAGGTGGCCCAGCGTGGGGAGGAGGCATAGATGAAGGCAGGGATTGTTGTCTATATAGCACAGGAAGACATTTTAAAGTGTTGGCCCTAGCAAGCAGGGAGGGGGCTTACTTGGGACCCTCTTCAGGCAGCCCGAAACCTTGGGTCAGTTCTGCTCAGACAACTTCCTCTCCTCAAAGGCTATCACACATTCACCCTTAGCCAGAAGCACTTTGTGAGCTTGGGGGGTGGGGGAGGGGGTGGATTCTGATTCTACAGTATCTTCCTGCAAGTGTTAAGGGCCCACAATACCAGTTCAAACTGCTTTTGTAGAAATGAGACCCGCTTTAATAAATAGGTAGCACAGGTTGAAATTGGTAAAGAAGATCTATTCAGCTGGAAGCTCCCTGGGGACTGTGCATACACATCATTTCCTCCTCTTTCATTCTGAAGAAACAAACGGAGGTTATCTACAGCAGGGGGAAATGTCCTAGGAGTTTATTTAGTCCCGGCAGTGTGACTGGCAAAGTTGGAACTAAAATAGCAAGTTTGATCACTGCCAGAGATCCAGGACTTCTGGGGCTAAGTACCACATACTAGTTCAAGGCTTGCTGTTAGGGAAACTGGGTGTGCTTGGAACAATGGGTTGTATCAACTGTAGGGCCAAGTTAAAGCCACTTAGTGGAATATCTATTCCATTGGCGAAATGTTTTACTCCAGTAGACCACTATTGCTGCACAAGCGCTGGTAACTTTGTTTCTCAATAGACTCTGCAATCTGTTGCATGGCATGTTTCCGCTGGTGCAACTGTTGCATTTGATTCCTCTGTGGTGCAAACTTAAAGCATACCTATCTGCAAGCACATACTCATCTTTGCCACTGGGGGCACAATATTTGCCTGGGCCTGGGCAACCCATGCTATGTCACTGCCAGCCACCAGGGCTTATAGTGTGTGTGGCTCTCCAGGGTTTCAGAGCAGCAGTCTTTCCCAGCGATCGAACCTGGGACCTTCTTCACCCAAGGCAGATGCTCTGCCACTGAGCCATGGCCCTTCCCCTAAACTGTTCTTCGCTTCTGCCTCCTGGCTTGTTCTCTGGTCCCAACTACTGGCTTGCCCCATTGCCCCTGGTTCCTGGTTCCTCAGTCACCTGACTGTTGCTCACAGGGCAGTCCTAACAAAGAGAGTTTTGCTGCTCTGCCCAGAGATGCTAAGAACTGAAGCTGGGACAGTTGGAGGGCAAATCATGTGCTGTAACAACAAGAAGCAATACCTCATGATAACCATTTGCTCTACCACCAAGTGGGGGGGGGGGGAGAGAATTTCCATTAGGTTTGCATTAAAATTCTGCCTAATTCACACTTCCACAAAACACAACCCAAAAAAACTTAAATATTCTTGCTGACTAGGCCTCGGCGATGTTGAAAGGGAGGAGCAAGCAGGGGCATCTTACCCATAGAGGCTAGTGGCACAGGGTGCCAGGGCTCCAAGTTGTGGAGGGCACCAGGGAAGAGGTGGAGGCTGGACGCAGCACCTCCCAGCATCAGCTCGATGCCCTCACCCGCCTCCGCCATGCCGTGCCAAAGCAGCGCCACTCTCAAAGCCTTCGCCTGCCATGGCCACCACAGCATGGAGCGGCCAGCTGAGCCGGGAGCTGTCGCATCCAGCCTCCGCCTCTTCCCCACCGGAGGAGCTGCCCTCCAGCCGCTGCCCGCCTCGTCCAGCCCTGCAAAGCTGGGCACATCGCCGGCAGCACCGTCCTCCCTTAAAAAGGTCAGCAACTCTGGGAAACGGGGGGGGGGGGGGCGCCGGAGGGATCTTTGCACCACGGTGCCAGATATGCTTAAGACGGCCCTGGGAGCAGGCTGCCTCGTCCCCGGCCTGCAAGGTGCTGGGATGAAACCATCACAGTTTGGAGCTAGGGCAGTTTCACCCTGGTGCCTCACAGCATCGGGGACAAGGCATCTAGCGCCTCCTGCCCTTCTTCGCTGAGGAGCCACCTGCCCACGCAGGCAGCCGAGGGAGGAACAAGCTACATTGGCCCTGTCCAATGTAACTTGTTCTTCCCTCAGCAGTATGAGGGCCAGAGTGCGATGGCGGTTTCACCTGGTGGTATATTGCAGGTGAAACCGCTACTGCTCCTGAGCTCCTTCTGCCACCAGCTCCTGACTGCAGCTGGTTTCTGCTTCGGCACGCTGGGCGCTGGTGGCAGAAGGACTCAGGAGTGTTGGCGGTTTCACCCATGATATACTGCCGGGCGAAACCGCCATTGTGCTCTGGCCCTCATACCAGTCCTTAGTGAAGTATCGATACCCCACGCAGGCCTATTGCTGACCCAAGCATTTGACACCGACCTTGACCTTATCAGTTGTGAGGGTATGCAACTGTTTTAAAATGTTCTGGGGTGTTCTTAATGTTCTGAAACATTTTTAGCTTCTTTTAATTTTATTGTTTTAACACTGGGGGTTTTCGCCGCCACGGAGACGAAGAGTGGGTTAGAAATTCAATAAGCAGCAATAACAGTGATAAACATCTCATACTTGATGTGGAAATATGGGGAACGGAATGTAAGATCAGACAAATGAGAAACTGAAATGGACAAACTCATCCATCCTAAGCTGTGGCCCATCCACATTGTGTGGAAGGAGTGCAACCCTGCAAAATGGA